AGAGAGAGAGAGAGAGAGAGAGAGAGAGAGAGAGAGAGAGAGAGAGAGAGAGAGAGAGAGAGAGAGAGAGCCCAATCGAACAAACTACGTGCCCCGCCTGCCCCCCCCCAGGATCGTAGAATTGCATATTTCCCGACATCTGAGAAAATTTTTTTTTGGTTAGTGGGAGACAGGTATGCAAATTGTGACACACACACAATAGGTGAGTTCAAATCCGAACCACCACCAACCCAGCAAACCACTACTGAAAGGATTGCAAACTGTGATCAGGTGTGTGACAGGACAAAAAAGAGAAAAAAAAAACAAAAAGAATATGTATCCAAGGCTTACAAAGCAGCATCAGCATTCCATCGGCAGTGTCAACACCAATGCACGGGTGAGCCTAAAAACCACCCCGGCCCCACCCAAACCCACACCCGACCAAGAAACCCCTACCCACCCTCATTTGCACCCTTTTCCCTTCGTTTTCTTGCGGGCGAAGCTGCAAAAGGTACCCTTGTACATATAAACCAAGGATCCGCAATGTGATGAAAAGGACTGAATGGACAATGCAGTGCAAGTGAAATCTCAACAAGCAGTGTACATCCTGATACATACAAAATGGTTCTTTACAGCACAGTGGAAGATTTAGATACAAGTCCTGACCTGAACGGGACTGAGCTCTTTCAGGTAGTACAAGATAGCGCAGCAGAATACTCGAATACTAATGACTAGCCCAATCAATGTTACAACGCAGACCAAACATACATCATTCTCACCACACGGTGTGAAGGGAGCCTGGCGCTATACACAGGAAGAGGCGCCAGGTCCAGTTCATGCACAGACGAAGAGGAGGGGATCAGACGAGAAGAGGAGGGGAGAGATGGGAAAGTCGTCAACACCAAGTCTCGTTACAAGTTCCAAATAATCCCTCGTCAAAATGTCGGAAGTCCAATGTCGAGTCTGGATCCAAATGTCACCAAGCTCTCTCTCTCTCTCTCCCCCATAGTCTGCTGATGCAGTGAAGTCAGATAACAATAGGGTGAGAGGGAGATGGTGGACTGAGAAGAGGAAGAAGAATAACTCTCTCTCTCTCATATGCTAGGTACTAACCTGTGAAGGTGGCGCTGTGCTGCAGGTACCTCGAAGACGAAGCTGGAGCGATGGCGCTGCAGGTAAGTCCCCATGGCCTCCGCCCAATCTCTCTCTCTATAGTACTACTCTAGCTTCTATGGTGCCCAGCGCTGAAGACTTCAGCTAACGCTACTAGCGCTCACCACTGAAGACTACTGCTAATGCTGCTACTACTCCTGCAGCGCTCCTCCAGAGTACTGCTGCGGAATCCTGAAGACTACCTCCTGCCTCCTGAACTACACGTGAAGTGCCTGAGAAGTACCTAGGAACTACCTGCAGCCTGCAGGGCGGGCCAGTCCTATATAGTGCTGGGTCGTCCAGGAGTCTGCTCTTGCCAATGCCAAAACATGCCAGACCCTGGGGTTGAAGCTCAAACGAAGGTTGTCTTGAGAATAGGCCAAAAATGGTGCCTGAGTTTCAGGGCAGGTCGATCTTGTGAGGGCCTGAAAATGGCCCTCAGTTTCAGGCTGAAACACTCAGGGCCGGAAAGGCCCTGATTAGGCTAAACCGACACAAGGCCTGTAGGCCCTTGTTTTCAGGCTTTCAGGCTGAAACGACACAGGGCCTGTAGGCCCTTGTTTTCAGGCTTTTGGGCTGAAAACGACACGGGCCTGAAAATGGCCCGTGCAGCCTGTTGCAGGTGCAGCATGTAACATCCCACCTCCTTTTCACCATCTCCAACCTCACTCCCACCATCTTTTACCTCCCTCCCGCTACATCCTACCACTCCTGCCATCTCCCACCTCCATCTCGCCATCTTCCGCCTCCATTCCACCTCCATTCCACCTCCATTCCACCATCTCCCACATCACTCCTGCCACCTCCTACGTCCCTTCCGCCATCTCCTACCTCCTTTCCTCCATCTTCAATATAGCTTCTGCCACCTCCCACCGCCCTTCTGCCCTCTCGAATCTCACTCCCGCCATCTTTAACCTCCTTCCAGCACCCTCCCACCCCTCCTCCCGCCACCTTCCACCTCCCTTCTGCCATCCCCAACCTCACTCCTGCCATCTCTAATGTCCCTCCGGCCACCTCCCACCTTACTCTCACCACCGGCTACCTCCCTTCCGTAATCTTCGACCTTCCCTCCGCCATCTCAGACATCGCTCCCACCACCTCCCACTCCTGCCACCTCCCACCTCTGAGACACCAGGAGTCGGTGAGACCGCACCCAACCCTACTCCACCCTGCCACATTTGAAATACTAGTGTGGCAAACAAGTGCAAGCAGGACAGATTTGGGCAGATCTCTGCAGGTGCAGCACAGGCCCATCACCGGAGGGGAAAAAAAAAAAACATTAAAAGAAAGCTTGCATGGGTGACGTGTGCAGCCACCTGGCTGTGCAGGCTGCACGGGTGCATGACCCGGACGGGCGATTGATGTTTTCACTCAGTCCCTATATGTCATCATTCACTAACTCCATTCTTACTCCTTTTGGTTGAATTCTGGTCTCAGGCACGACTTCTACTTTACCCGATACTCCAATCCTTCTCCTCCTCTCCTTGCTCTCTGTTACTCAGCCCCCAAGCCGCCTGACTCTCCTTCCCATCTTCATTCCGTTTTGCTGGGTTTTTCCTTAAGAAGCACATGGCCAATGTTGGTTGCTGTCTCTTGGACTAGCTGCTGGTTGGATCACACTCGCACATGACAACACACAGTACGAGATATTCCCCCTTGAGCTAGCGGTCCCTTTGCCAGCTATTTTGTCCCGGGATAATGGTAAATACATGTTGTCCTTCAGGGGAGGACCTACCAAAAGGAAAAGGCTGGGGCCCCCGTCAAAAAGTTTTCTGCCCAGGTCGTTCGTTGTTTTATTAACATGCAGCAGAAATCCAGGTCGGGAAAGAGAGGCTTGGAGGGAGTGGTTGTTTTACTCACACCACCTGCCCCTTCCCCAACCCAACACTATTTCTTTCGTTCTCTGACTCAGGTTTACCCTCCTAAACAGTTGGTTGATGTTGGCTCCTCTCTCTTGGAATAGCAGGTGGTGGGATGTCGGACACGCACATTTCTACAGCTTGTACGAGACAGAGGGACTAAAGGAGCTGGATTTGTGTTATTGCTTGTTTTCATCCGGTAGGTCACATGGGGCCAGGGGGAGCTGAAGTTTACCCTGCATGCTTTTCCATACAAAAGTCAAGGTTGTTTTTCGAGGCCAAAGCGGAAGCGTGTAGACTTCCAGTTTGCTGTGCACAGTCCGGAGCAGGCGAAGTCCTGGATGACTGGTTTTGCTGAGGCAGGTTGCAGGGCCATTCTTCCTGATCCAACAAATGCAGCCAATGTCCCAGGTTCTCGTGGCAATGGGGGTGCGGAGGTGACACCTGAGGTGAACCATGAAGGCTTGAGCCCGAAGGTCAAGGCTATGTGGAGCCTTCCAGGGGCGAAGGTGCTGGTGATTGTCAACCCCAAATCAGGTCATGGAAAAGCCAAGAAAGTGCTTTGTTCTCATGTTCTGCCCGTATTTGAGGTGAGGGGTCACCCCGAAAGTTGTGTCAAGTGTTCTGATATGGGATGGATGGAATGATCTTAAAAATATAATTTGGGACTTCTGATTTAAACCACCACTACCTTTCCCATATGCTGGTTGTGGGCATCTAGTAGCCTACTCCTGAAAAATAGCCGCCAAGCCGCCGTCGATAGTTTTTCATCGACGGCGCCTGGCGGCCGAATTTGAATTCGAGGCCCGTGGCGCCACATACGAAAAAGGCAGTGGTGGTTTAAAGAAAAAGTAAAATAAAGAGGATGTATGGAAAATGGTACACGCGTTTTGTAGCATTGCATGAGCAATGTCTGGCGGAAGGGCATTTCCAAACCGTATCCACATTGAAAAGGAGGGAATATGTGGTGCCTCCCCATCCATATTGATCGGGATGTGTTGAAACTCGAAAGTGCCTAGGTTAGTCTGGTCTGTTCCAGATTGGTTTGGATTATGGGTGTATTCATAGGTTTTGGGCCAGGTTTGCTTCAGTTTTGAACTACTGTCGAGGGGTGGAGTCAAGGTGATGTGCATGCTCTGAAGCTCATCAAACAACCCTACTAAAGCTTATCGGCCGCGGCACCGAGTCTTGCATCCGCAATGGTCCATGTTAGTGTTCTGCATCGCGAAGCGTCAGACATCCGATGTAAAATTCTGATGCGCGATCGTTTGCATGCGAAGCGTGAGACATCCGATGTAAAATTCTGACGCCCCTGACGCGTCTGACACGTTTGGCGTTTGTTTTTTTTCTGGGGCGAGTCCGGTTTCGTTTCGTTTTTGCGTTCTCTTTTATGCTTTGGGCCTCGCTGCACTACTCTTGAAATACGGATAGATACCCGGTCATGATTTTTGTTTTTTGTGGATGTCTAGACGCGTTTGGCGTTTGTTTTTTCCTCGGGCGAGTCCGGTTGCAATTCGTTTTTGCGTTCTCTTTTATGCTTTGGGCCTCGCTGNGTGGATGTCTAGACGCGTTTGGCGTTTGTTTTTTCCTCGGGCGAGTCCGGTTGCAATTCGTTTTTGCGTTCTCTTTTATGCTTTGGGCCTCGCTGAAGTGCTCTTGAAATACGGACACATATACGGTCATGATTTTTGTTTTTTGTGGATGTCGGGAGCAGTGAATCTCTTCCGCTAGAATGCGGACAGATACACGGTCATGATTTTTGTTTTTTGTGGATGTCGAGAGTAGTGCAGCGAGGCCCTTTGTCGTTGGCTGTCAGTGGGTGCTTGGGGCCAGTCGGTGGGTGCTTGGGGCCGGTCGGTGGGTGATTGGGGCCGGTCGGTGGGTGCTTG